TGCTGGGAATGTTGTTTCCCCAGCTGTTCTTAATTTCTCAAACTGGGTGTCCTTGTTGCTTAATCTGGAAGAAAGGGGCAAGACTATAGATGCTTTAGTTAAGTTTATTAACAAAACCTGAATTTTTGTAAAATGTTACAAAAATTTTATAAGATGTTACTTGGGAGCCAAAGTTCTGTGTCTACAAGTGGGCAATATTTTCAGTGAAACCAAACAATTTTTAAACTTTAAATTAAATTAAATTAATTTTTTAAAAAAATTAATTTAAAAAATTGTGGACAAAGTTTTGCGTTGTCTAGAACTCTTGATCAGGTTAGTTAGCATATGCAATGCTCCCTGTGCTGTATATGTGGTTTCATATTTTCCTATCTGGTGCCAGGCGTGTTTTAAGAGGTCCCACTGACATTTGGAACACTAGAAAATTTCTCATAGGAAAGGCACACTGACCTGAAGACATGCGGAGGATCTTGGTAATTTCAAAGTAAAAGTTAAAAGGGTTTGCTGATCACCCCCTTCTCCCCACAGGCTGTCTGCATATCCTCTTGCACTGGAGATGAAGGCAATCCTTCATCTCCAGTGCAAGAGGCACTAAAGTGAAGGCCTAAGCAGACTGCCAGAAATAGTGCACATTAAAATGAGGCACTGCCCTGGCTTAGTGCTTGGGAATCATGGAAATTGTATTTTTTTCTGAGACATTGAGCCTTCTCTGTCAGAGAGCTCTGGTGCCACAATAAATTACAGTTCCCATGATTCCCTAGCACTGAGCCAGGGCAGTGCCTCAATTTAATGTGCACTATTTCTGGCAGTCTGCAAAGGCCCTGAGTTAGACCATATGTCCTATCTACCTCCTGCCATGTTCCCAGCCAACTTCCCTATCCATCTTTTGGGGTAATCCTACATTTAATCACTATTTTGTTAATCCAGAGTTAAAACCATCAACTGGAATCACCTCTTTTGCCAATCCCATGAGAAAGCAGTCAAATTCTTTGTATTCATGTGGGAATATTAAGTACCGCTTGAGGGCACCAAACAGGCTATAGATATCCATCCCACACATGTCCAGTTTGTGATTGTGGTGAGTAACCACTGGAGCACTGTCCAACTGTACAGAGCTGCCTCTTCTTGTATCACCTTCAGACGCTATCTGAGCCACAGCCACTTTTTGTGGATTCCCCTTCACAACTGGTAAATATCACCCTCTCTACAACCCTAAGCCTCCACTATCTAATTTCATACCACCATTTCAGTTAGCTGTGTATGATATTTCAGACTGAATTGTTACTGTATGTGTGCGCTTTGGCATGCTTCTAAATAAACCTTTATTTACCAACGTGGCATCCTTCCACAGTTAGTATGGTTATATATATATGTGTGAAAATGGCCCTTTTGGTTACCCAGCCTCTCACAGATCTCCTCTGAGTTAAATAATTCACCAACATTTAAGAGGGCATTGATACAGTTGGATACAATTGGTGGAAACCCCAAGTCCCCTCTTCTTTTGGGGGTAATAGGTTGGATAATACCAAAAGTGAAGAGGAAGCAGTGGGAGCGCAAATATCCAAAGATTAATCCAAATGTACCTATGAAATCTAAATTTTGGTCTCAAGATGGAGATTTCTCAAAGACAGTGCACCTAAAATAGTTCTTAAAAGGCAATAGTTATCCACTTGACCTTTATTAATGCTAAAAATCACTTGGCAAGTGGTAGCCTGGGTGGAGGATCTGTAGTATTATGGAGAGAGAAAAGAGCCCTTTCCCACACATTTGGAAGATATGGAAGATGGGAAGCATTTCTGCCACAGTTGAAAAGGTGCATGACAAGAGCAGGTGATGTCAGTGGGAAGTGGAGATGGCTCACAGCCCTCAGGCTGTGCATTCAAGGCTTGGGGAGTTCATATGAACCACATCTTCTGTCTCCTGGTATGACTGCAGTGAGGTGGGAAGGAGCCACTTCTCTTGAGTGTTTTCTCTGATGACAGCATAGCTTCATACCTGTTAGTGAGCGAAACCTGAGTTAGTGTGCCATGTGGGCTAAGACAGTTGCTTCTCCCCACTGTGTTCCCATTTCTCCCCCACTGTGTTCTTTCTTGGAGCCCTGGTGATGTAGTGGTTAAATGCAGCCACAAGGTTGTAAGTTCGATCCCAGGGGCTCCAAGGTTGATTCACCCTTCCATTTTTTTTTTTGTAGGTTGGTAAAAAGAGTACCCAGCTTGTTGGGGGCAATTCGTTTACAGATTGTAAAGCACTTAGAGAGTGCTAAGTTCACTGATAAGTGATACAGAAATGTGCTATAACATAATAGCAGTTAAATAAACTTCATGTTACCGTGATAGAATAAGGTTTCTATGAGACCATAATTCCAATCTCAAATGGTACACTGAAGTTATGTTAGAATTAAAGGATTTAACAGCCATTCTATCCTAATCCATCAGGGATAACCTGAGGACAATGGCACCATTAATACTGCTTATCAATGCTTAGAGAAGAAGAAAATTAGAAGTATGTTCCAGGGCACTCTACTGCCAGACTCTACATTGCAGCCCTGATAGTTCTTTTCCCTTCACATGGAAAACAAAGTTTGGATATATCTTTTCTATTTAAATCAATAAATATTTTATTAAAAAGAACTATAATAACCTTCCCCATATGTTCTAATTAAAAACATTCTTCTTAGCTGAGCTGTATCTGGTTGAATGCAATAAGCAAATTCAACTGGATTCAAACCTCACTGAGGGCCTTTGCAGACTGCCAGAAATAGTGCAAACTGAGTCCACTTTAACTGCCCTGGCTCAGTGCTAGGGAATCATGGGAATAGTATTTTTTTTCTGAGACAAGCAAATATTTGGTTGCTATACTATAAGCACAAGAAATCATTACCCATCTCACACCTGTTTTCCATAATCTAAGTAGCTCAGAACCACTCCCAAATTCAGCTCTCCAAACAATAAACAGAAACTGTTACTGAGACTAGAACTGAATGCAGAGAGGGGTCTATTGATTTCTTTCCATAATCAGTTCCTTCAAAGAAGTTAATCCTTGAAATTAGTTATATTAAAGAATATAACATTTTGTTTACACTCTCAAATGAGCTAACATTTGGGATGCAGACATTTAGGAAGGAAGCAAGTGACATCCACCCTGAAGGAATTACTCCAGTCACCTCCATATGGTAACTGGAATCTGGAAACCACAGAGTCTCCTTGACCTCTTTCTGGGAGATGCTCTGCTTGGTTATGAATCTAAGTACCCAGGACAGGCCATGTGTGAATTGTGTGGAGGCAGATGGAGTAAGAAATAGCTAAAGTACAGGGACTATCAAATCTACAAGCTACTCTGCTCCCTCCTAGCTATTTTCACAGCTTCACTGAAAATGCTGCAGGAGATATAAACTGATATAAACACCTGAAAGTTACAGTGCAAAAATCCCCTCATTCTCTTTCTTTCTTTTTGCTTCTGACAATTTAGAAAGTGAACTCCTACAGAACTGATATAATCTCTTTGGATTTCCACTGCTCCCAACTGAATAAGAGATTGCTTGTGCATATGAATATGTGTTGCCTCACTCAATCTATCCTACGTTAGAGTAATAGTTCACTCCTCCCCAGAACCTTTGCCTGAGCATTTGTCAAAGTTTTGTATTCTTTTTCTTGCAGCTTACAGCCTGATTGAAGTTATCACTAGTGGTCTGTCAAAATCCTCCTCTTGGGAAATGACATCCCAAGGTGACACTTCCTGACCTTCGCAATAAATTGGGATATGTATGACTTGTTGCTCTGAGTTTCCTCAGCATTAATTCAATGCTACCAGAAGCATAGTGAAACTGGGGTCACTCAAGTGCACAATGTCTGCCACTTAAGGCTTTGCCAAATGAGTTGAGTAAATAGTGCAGACATCATCCTTCATTCCCCCCCCACCCCAAGACTCCTTCTTTGGGGGAGCGACCACTCTGTCTATTGCCCCATTGTGTGCAATTCTGACACAGAATGGAGGAATGTCTCATTTTAATTGGTTTGGGGAAGAGAGTTAGCAATCACTGCAGCAGAAGGAGTGCCTTGGTGAATATGCCTTTTTATCTCAGGGTGGATCCACATGTTCACATCCCTTCAAAGGTCAATGATTCCTCCCTGCCTTGTTACTCACTAATGCATGTACCAAAGCCAAAGGTCTATTCTTATTCATATGCATAGAAAATAGATACTCATGACATAGACACATTCAGACTTACTGCTAATGGTATGGGATGGCAGTCCTTGAAGTCGTTCCCCATGACACTTCAGTAACTGCATTTCAAGACAGCACACCAGAAGACTGCATGGCTCCTTCCCACATCACTGCCTTGTTTGGAGAAAATAACAACTGACTGAGAAGCAGTGCTTGGGGAAGTTGTTTTCTTGGACTACAGCTCCCAGAATTGCACAGTCAGCATGACCATCCAGAGTGGCTGTCCTGCCACTAATGGTGTGACTGGAGTGTGGAAAGCAATCATGTCTCATAAAAATACTTCCATTAGGAGTGTGTCTCTACAGACCACATGGACACACAAGGCTTTCCCTTTTACAAGAAGAATTAGGCTGTCTCTATAGTCAAGGAAAGCTGTCAGACTGGTTTTGTTGAGAAATTCTCATGCACTTCCATGTTGTGAGGTAGGAACTGGAGAAGTGGGAAATAATTTCTCCATTTATACCAGTTCTCTGAGGCACACAGGTATTGACTTACAGCAGGAGTGGAAAACCTGTTTCCCTCCAGATGTTGTTGAGCTGCAACTCTCACCATGGGTAGGTTGCTGAGAACTGCAGACCAACAACCTCTGGAGAGATGCATGATTGCCTCCTTGATGATCCAACATGAGATCAATGTATCTAGAACACACCAGACAGTCATCACTGTTCTGTGTTTTTTGGGGAACCAAGGATGAGAAAATGCAAACGACAGGGACTAGAACATCACTGGTGACTGGTGGAATAGTTGGAGCATAAACACAGTCTAAACACACTGGGACAGCCAGTGTGGTGTAGTGGTTTGAGCACTGAACTACGACTTTGGAGGTCAGGGTTTGATTCCCTGCTCAACCATGGAAACCTACTGGGTGACCTTAAGCCTGTTGCATTCTCTCAGCACCTCCCCCGCCAAAAAAACTCCATGATAGGTTTGCCTTAGGGCTGCCACAAGTTGGAAACAACTTGAAGGCACACAACAACAACAACAAACACAGCTTAGAATACCTATTCTGTGGCAGTGATGGCAGCAAAACAATTGTTATTCTTGTCTCTTCCACCATGCCACCTGTATAGTTGTCCAAGAGAGCTCTTTCAAGTAATCAAAGCCCATGAAAAGAAAGGCAAGACCACTGGACAGCACACTGTAACCAGTTTTGATGGCATGCATAACCAATTTTGCAGATAAAAATGGCTTGCTGGTACAAGCCCAATGGACAAAACTTTGCACTCTGCTTGTCTAACTATAATAGATATTATTCAGTTTTTACAGCCTGAGATATGGCCAGGATCCTTGGAGAGGTCAGACCTATAATATATGTACCTTTCTGGGCTAGTAACAGTGCTATGGAGAAGAGGAGAATGGCCCAATGGATAAGGATAGTAGTAAATGCTCTTTATGGTATATGACTGAATTTTACAAAAAAGAGATAGTAGGCGAGAAGTTTGATTTTCTAAAACATATCCTTAGCTGGACCTAACTCTTATGCATAATTTCTCACAAGTGTCAATATTCTATTTTTGGTATGATATTGGAGTGTGTTGTGGTGTCTCAGCTCTAGGATAGGAATGGCACAGAAGGAATGCATCCCTGTTGGTTCACCTGGACTTCTCAGTAGCTTTTGGTACCACTGACTATCTTATCCTTACCAGGTATCCATGTGGGAAAGGACCTGGAGGTGTTGTTTTACTTCCAAAATTTGCTGCTAGGTGCTGAAATTTCCTGCTGAGAAAGAAGGCCTACATTGGTTTCTTCCCTGTGGTCCTTCTGCCAACAGACAAATACATTCTTATTCGGGAAACCATTTAGGATATGAGCTGGATTGCTGTTGAAGTTGTTGAATTAAAACAACTCTGTTGTTTTTGTTGTTAACTGCCTCGAATCGATTTGGCGGCCCTATGGATGAGACATCGCCAAGACCCTCTGTCCTCACTGTTGTTTTAATTGTATTCATTATTGTTTTAAAGTATTTAATCAACATCTTCTTTTTAACCTGCATCCTGTTCTTAGTAGACTTGAAGACCATTTTTGATTTTTAAAATTGTATAATTTAAACAATACAAAAATTAAACAAACAACCCTGGTCTAGAGCTCTGTCAGTATTTCTAGGTTGCACCCTTTATGGCTGGGGATTTTGAGATATAGAATAAGGCTTGCAAGAGGATTCAGTGACAATAGGAACTGATCTTATTAGGTACCATTTCTTTGAGAATAATTTGCAGGAGACTGTTTTTGACATGGCACAGGGCTTAGCGAGATCTACAGTGTCTTAGCAGCATGAGCAATTTCCTATGAAGTTGAGTTCTCCTTTTCTCTGTAATGATGTGTTTACCTACACATGCACAGATAACAGCAGTTCAGTCTTCACCAACTTGTTCAGCCTTTGCTGACTCAATCTTGACCACACTGGTGGGGAATAATGGGAGTCGTAGTCCAGTATATCTGAAGGGCACCAGATTGTGGAAGGTGATGTAGTAAGAGACACTCCCTGAAAGGCATCAGAAATGTCTAGCTGCACAGATTGCAGCACTTATTCTGACCTAAGACTAAAGACCAAAAATTAAACCAAACCAAATCCCTTTTATAGCAGCAAGGGATGCTAAATGCTGCATGAATTTTAAACTGCCGGCAGAAGCTGTAACATCCATTTTAAGCAAGCTTTCCAGAGATTTCACCTCCTTATTGCAGCAGTACCCTTTCGAAATATCTCCTCTCCATCACTTTAGGGTGGGCAGTGTAGGAAACATGGTGCTTCCTAAGGAGGGGGGGGGGGAGGCCCATTTTTGGTTCCACCCATCCTTCCTTGAAGCAGTGAAAATGCAGAAAATTGCCACTGGGGGGTGCAAAGCTACCTTTTATTTGCTAATCATGTGTGGTGCAATGTAAGGCTTTTCTTCCTATTCAGCTCCCTGAGTTCTTGTCTTCATCCTTCTGGGGTATTTTTCAGATCTCTTAATCTTTCTTCATGCACCTCATTATGTTCACATCCAAAGGCTTAGAGGATGCAAGGCTGCTGAGGCAAATGTAGCAGTTTCACAACAGTGGCACACGGATGTGATCGTTAGCATCAGCAGTGTTTCCGCAGAGGCATATTACAGATCCTGAAATTTTCTCTGACTTTTTCCAAAGGCCATGTTCCATGGCCACATTCTGTCAAATGCAGGCCCTGATTATGGCCCAGTTTAAACATGACACCAATTGTCCCCTTGCAGCTTTGTGATTAAATCTGGCATGTGGTCTTGCGGCACACAGTATGAACACCTCAGAATAATATAACCCATTGTTACTCCAAGATCCATTCTCTCTTCACCCCCACTCTTTTCTGATATTAATATAAAAAGGACTAAGGCACATGCATATTAGGGAACCGCCCAGTGTGGGAAAATAGCCATATCATATGAGGAGGACTGGGACCATATTTGGGAATCTAGGAGGCTCAGCATGGGGAAGCACAAGAGAACATAGCCAAGAATAGATCAATCAAGATCAGAATCTGCATATTCCTTTTATCAAAGAGAGTAATTTCAGGTGATAAGGCTTGTATTTGCAAGCAAATAGAAATCCAAGAGTACCTCCCTCTGGGAGCAATATTCCTTTGTCCAGGTTCTCAACCTCCTTTCTCATTCATCTGTCCTGGAAAACCTATTCTAATCCTGGGTTCTGCCCCAGGATAGATTTTACAGTATAAATATGTCTCCTCGGGTACCACTAATTTGGTCTTGCTTGAGGTCAGACAAACCTTTTTTGTCTGCATCTTGCTTGACTCCTCAGCTTGCTGGCCATGCTGTGATGTGCAGGCAGCTTGCTGAGCCACTTCCACTTCAGGGTATCTACCAAACTGGAACGCCACTTTTGAAATTGTATTGCCTCTGCAACCCTTTAATTTGCTGTCTGCTACCACATTTTATATTGTTAGTTCTTGACTTCCTTCCAATTAATAAATAAAGCTAATTTGAACTTCAGTGTACACCGGCTAGATCCCTGGTTTAAGTTGCCTGAGACCTTTCACTGTCTTCAGCTGAGCTAATAAAATTTCCCCATTGAATATTCACTGTGGATGACCTCCCAGGCTCTGACATTTGGGTATCACCATCCACTCACTGTTGATCTCTAGCATGACAGTACTGCATAGATATGCAATGCAACTCGGTTTAAATAAGTCATCAGTGGGATGGATTGGCAAATGATTCTATTGCATTTTTTTAAAAAAAATCCTGTGTAAACTGGTATTTTTTGATGCAGACTTGGGTTCTTTTCATCATCACCACTACCACCACCTCCTCAAAAAATGAGAGGAGGAGACGAAAGAAAATGAGTTAGATTGAACCATGGGGATACATTTGAGGCTTGGAGCTTTGCCAAAGAATTTTTTCTAGTTAGCTTCCTCCTCGCTATCGGTCTTCAAGTAGAGAGAATCAATGCAACAACAACAGTACTTTCTTCAGTGTTGCTGCTTTATAATGTACTTTCTCAGTGGGATGTATTATTAGGAAGATGAACATGGATCAGTGGTTGGTGGTATTTGGCTTTCATTCACACACTCTGGTTAGGAGGAGGTGTTTTACTTAACTGCAGATTGACATGTGATGCACCCTGGGCTGCCCAGATCCAATTCCTGGAAAACAAGAAGGGGGCCAGTGGGAGGCAGTTCTGACTGCTCCTTGATGGAGAACTGGGGGTGGAGAGATATTTGGTGGTTGTCTTGGTTCTTTTTGGATTTAATTGTGGCAGCATTCCCAGCTTACATTCACTTGTATTTAGGAAACAAAATGCAGGCAACACTTCTAATGTTTCCCCTGGGGCATATTATATCTCTCCTGGGAACAGAATACCTCCTCTCCTGAGTAAAAGTGCATTGACTAATTTATTCATTTAAATGTCAGTTTCATTAAATATCAAATGGACCATTGCCTAGCACTGAGATTGATTATAAAAACCCAACAAGCAATAAATATTGGCAATCATATCCAGAAATGACCTGACTAACCTCCAAGAAAGTGTCCAGACCATGACACTAAAGAAGAGATAAAAAACTTTGCTTATTTATCACATGCAAGAAGAAAACTTTCAAAAGTTTTCTTCCTGCTTGGTGGGACTATGAGAGGTTTTGCACATTTTTCAATGATTTTTTGCATTTAAGAATTTTATTTTATTTATTGCAAAAAATGTGTTGAAACATCTTTCTGTTCCTCACACTGAGCATCAGTCTCAGTTGCCCTTGAGAGAGCATATCCCTCCTGATTAGTCACCAGAGATACTATCCTGTATGAATAATAATAAAAAAAATTATGGTAACATTCCCTCAGCACCCCCAAATTAATTTTGTGTAAGAGGCATAGCCTGTATTTTACATCAGACTATCTCAAATATCATCTTCAAATATGATGAAAACCTAATTTAAAAAAATTGGATTTTCACAAAAATTGAGGTGGTGATTGGGATGCTCTGACTTACCAAATGAATTTTGTGCATGCAATTAGAAATTGAACCTTATCAAACATGTGATCCAAATATGGTGGAAATCTGTCCAGCTGTTTTTGTGTAGCGAGGTTAAGCAACTGACCAAGACTAGATGGATGACCTCTAGTGCTGCCAGCCAAAAATATGGAGCAACTAACTGTTCTGTTCTTTCCTTTCTTAAAGTTTTTTGGCAGGCTTGGTAAGAAAAAGGATACAAAAAAAGTTGGTGGGGAAATGTATGTGTGGTAGTATTGTATGGAATTGAATATTTGGGCCCTCTGTAAAATTCTGTAAATGAGGTTGTGTGAGATGCCTAACAGAAGTGTAGCATCTTCAGGGAAGCACCCCTGAAATCCTGCATCTGGAAACACTCATACTCTTCTGAAAGGCACATTCC